ACCTATCGATTCTAAAAACTGATCGGTTTTTAAGCTTGGAAACCCACGTTGATCCTAATTTTTTATACTGAATATATAAAAAAATTCAAAGTATAAAACAAGTAAGAAACATATTGAGTTTTTTGGGGGGCCCATTTTACCCCACTTTTCTCAATTTTTTAATTTCGATGTACACAAAAAAATTAATACCATAAACTCAGTAAAAGGCCAAAAAAAGTAAAACGAGCTGAAAAACTCATATTATAAAAATTTTCTGAAGGTGGCCCATTTTGCCCCACATTTTCAATTTTTTTTTTTTTTAATGAACAGAGCAAATTGAGGTCAAATACTTGGCAAGGGACTAAAAAAAAGTAAAACCAGAGAAAAACACTAAGGATATCAACATTTTTTTCTTAAGGGGCCCATTTTGCCCCCCCCCCCTTCCCCTACTGTAATTTTTCGAGTTTTCTTTTTTCCGTGTAAATATTTGCAAACTCTATTATTAAATATTTATTAATAATAAATTCTTTTGAAAGTAAAGAATTGAGACTGATTAAGTTCCTCATTACACATGATTTATAAAGAATGTTTACAAAAAATATGATTTTATTACGAAAAACTTGTGAAATTATCAAATTTTCGGCATGGGTGCAGTCAATGGAGCCATAGAAAATGCGCAAATTTTCTTAGTCATTCTCTGTCAATTAATTTGAACTTTTAGGATAAATTGGCGCTCTAACAGTCATTTACAGATAAATTCAATGTTCTGCATGATAGGGTAGAAGTACCGTTTATGGCCACTGTACCGTTTATGTCCATTTATTGTTCAAATAAACGATAGAAATGAATTTATATTAATAAACCATTACAAACTCAATTTGTTTTAATATAAATTTTTTAAAACTCAACAAAAATATGGTTATAATATTATAATTTTTTATAAATTAATTCAAATGTTAACTGGCCAAAAACGGTGCTAAGGTGACCAAAAACGGTACTTCTACCATATTTACTTTAAATTGCACGCCTCAAAAGGCAAAAGTCTGAGTTTGTGATTTTCTCGCAACTTTCTTCGGATTTTTTTCTAAAATTGAGTGTCGTCAAATTAAATTCACAATACAATTGAATCCAAATAAATTTCTAACTCACACGCCCTAAATTAAATCCCTAAAAAATTGGTTCCATCAAAAAATTCTTCAAGTTCTTAAAAAGCCATAAAAAGTTCGGATGTTTATAAAATAAGATCCAAATTGATGAATGATCTATAAATATCCGACCGACAAATTGTAAATTTAAAAACAGTTATTAAAAAGTCAGACGATAAAAAAAGATGAGAATTATTAAGTATAAAATATCCAGCTTAATTAAACCCAAAATCGAGTAAAGAGCCAGAAGTGAGTAATTACTCATGTTGGATGAAGGAATAATTAACGATAAATGAAGAATTAAAACGGAAATGAATAATTTGGGTTCGCATCAGCATAATTTATCCACGTAGTCGGTTGGACAATAAAGGTATGAGACAAAAGGTGTCCGCGTGACTGTGCAATCAGAGTAGATGTTAGAACAACTACAACCACAAGAGCTCCAGCTCTAGCAGGTAGTTCACCAACAGACCGGGTGGATGTGTTGAACAACAATAAAGGATGCTACAAATGCCAGCGGAGATGAATTGTCCTGTTCGTTGTAAGTTGAGCTTGGGTCTTGTTAAATGCGCCTGTACCTCTATTCCCATCTGTGTGTTCTGTATTCTCTACTAAGCTAGATGTTGAAGATGTAGCTTCTATTCAGTTTCACCCATAGAAGATCAACCTACTGCATGTCAACCTTAAAAGGGGTCCAGCGAACCGAGCATCAGTAACAGGAACCAACGTGTTGTACAGGTGCTAGCTATTAGCTATTGTGTCCCTTCTGAACTGATAGGCAATTGGTGTTAAAGTGAGGGGTGATCCTCGAGTTAAACAGAGATGCCATTACCTGACATCCTACAATGCCATCCGCAGTCGCATTTGCATCTTGTACCCCTGAACCGCCCAACGACTAAACCACCGACAAGATACTGCGATGAATAAGGTAATCAGGTGACAGCTACAGCGATGCTGATGCTGATGGAGGGTG